TCTCCCTTGTAATACTCACAAAGGTTTTATCAGCTTTGTCTGTTTATAGACTTTGCTGATAGAACCTCATGCTCTTTACAAGTAAAAAATATGAATTAATTAAGTCTCACAGCATCCATATTATGCAGAAAAATGACATCCACTTTACAGATAGGGAATTTCATGAGTTCATGGAAGTCAAATCAAGGTCCTACAAAAGTCAGCTGTAGAACTGCCACTGAATTCAAGATTTATCCATAACTACAGTAAAGCTTAGGTCAAATTGAGAGGAGCCAAATTTTAATTCTTTCTCCAGATTCACAGTACCAGGCACTAACTCCTAGCTATGTTTCAAGTTAACAATGGCTTAGTCTTTTTTTTTTTTCTCCCTTGGATTGTTGGTTGCCAACACTGTTCAGTTTGAGAAATAAACCAGTGACTATAAAGGAATTAAGAGAAAAAATTAGTAACACAGGAGTTAAACTAAACTGCTCTGATTCTCATCAGAGCAATTCCATGGTGTGGTTGCTCTGACAACTGCATCCATTGCAGAGATTTATTTCACTACATTTCATCTGCATCATATCTAATCTTAGACTATGACTTTTCAACAGTGTAAACTAGTTTAGATTAAGAGCAAGTGAGGTAGAAACCTTTCACTTGGATGATTTCTTGTCATCCAGGGTTCTAAGGACTAGTGTTAAAGAAATAAATGTTTTAGACATTTTTGAGCCCATATAGGTTACATATTTTCTAAATATTTCTTAAGTATTGAAGAACCGCATTATTTTTAACACTTCTGTTATACCTACATTACATCATGGGGTGTGCAAAGGTATTTCAGCAAATCATACTTTACCTTTATTTTCTTATTGGCTGTAGACTAGCTAGTAAAAGAGTAAAAGAAAGAAGTATTGTGGGGAAAAAAGGCAACTATTGTTGCTGGGTTTTTTTTTTTAGTTATACTTAAAACATGCACTTGCATTTGTCCTGCTTAAACATCTAGACAGATGTATAGTGAAAATTTGCTTTCTAATTTATGTATTCATATAAAGATTCTTGCTAAGCATCCACAGGTCATCTCCTCCACAATAAGTTTTTTGGAAGTTTAGTTCTGTGGAAGTGATGTAGATAGTTTCCATGTTCTTAAAAGCTTGCTTCTTTTTCATACTAATTATCTCCAAGCATTTGGTTAACTAATAGATACCTGCTCTGGCTCTTTCTACAAAGCAATGAACTGCAAATAAACTGCATAATCTCCTTTAGCATGCTATATTTACAGCCCAAGGTATGCCATTCTTAAAATTATATATTATGAGCAGGAACGTGCTTTATCTTCACCTGAAAGCACATATACTTTTTTGGTTACGTTCAAATTCCAAAGGCATTTGTACAGTTGATTTCAATCCACTCAACAGTTTTCACATTTTGCTTAAATATTGTTCTTATTAAGAGATAATGGAAATCACATTTTTTCAGCATTATTTTGTATTTCTTCCCAAACCACATGTTATCTATTTAATTAAGAGGTCACATTTATTAAGACTTATATCTTCAGGTAAACACTAACAATGCGGGTTCCTCTCATCTAGAAATTGTCTGTACACTGGACAAAACTAAGAAATAAATTTCCACGCATGGAAAGTTTTGTCAGGTTTTAAGATAGAAGCATGGTTTGGAATGCTCTTTAGTGATAACCCCACACAGGGTTTAGTCCCAAAACAACTGTGTGTTCTCTGTCTCCCAGTTTCACATTATTACTGGATCACGCACACCAGTAAGCTCCGGTGTTTCACTACGTTCACTTTGGCCATATACTTGGGCTTCTCACCACACAGTGTGTGTATACAGGTGATTGACAGCCAAGTTTGACACTTGTCTTAACACTGGATGGCTATTCTCTCCTTATTGACATTTTCTGAACCTTCACTGGTGGGTTTCAGCTGAAAGACAGTGTCTAGACACTTGCTAGTATTCTCATTTACATAGGTGAGCCTATTAAATGTAGCTCTTTGTGTAGATGATGAGATTGAGGAGAGTTAAAACTCAAGTAGAATGTCTAGTGAATTGTGCAGTGAAAACATGCTACTGAACACAAATACCAATTTGAAAGCCACTTGTAAACCCTAGCTGAATTTTTCTCACCGCAGCTAAAAGAACTGGAATGGTTTTAATTTATACCCTGACAGAGAGCAGAGGGGACTAAGGTAAACAAACAGAAGTAGGTTTTTATCTTCCTTTAAAAACAAAATAAGCCAAACAAGCTCTTCAGACTTTCACATCTTCCAATCAAAAAATTATTTAAGGCATTATTTAAATTGAAATACATAAATAGTGCAAAAGATTGCAAAGACAATTAATTAATTAAAAATGAGGCTTTTTTTATAAACCAGAGTTTAATTTAGCTCAAACAAATCCAAACTAATTAGAATTGGTGTATTTCCTATATTTATATAAGGCTCTGGATTCCTCTGAAAAGTTCCTCACTTATGATCTCTGAGAATAAGGTATTTCCTGATATAGCCATTAGCCATATTATTTCAAGAAATTTTAAGCAGAGCACTCCATTAACCATAACTAAACAGTCTATTAAGGTAAAAAAATGGTGCCATATGACTATGCCTTTCAAGAAGGTTTGGAAAGAATTATTTATTTACTCTCACTGGGCAACACATATACTCATGATATCTTTGGTCTCAGTTTAGCAATTTCTGCTACACAGTGCTATTTTTTGTCACACCTTCATGGAGACCTCATTTGCAGGCAGCAACAAACATGAATGGAGACACAGGCATGGCTTAAACTTTCTCAAATTAATACAGCTCTTAGGGTAATTTTTCTTTGTGTAAGCAAAAGTATACAATGGTATTACTTTTCTATGAGCAACTTGAACTCTTTTTCTTGACATTAGAAACCGAATTTTTTCTTCCTTTTTTTTTTTTTTCTTTAAGAATAATGTGAAGTTGACAAAAGTCAGAAGTCAGGTCAACAAAGAAAGTAACAAACTGAAGTTTTCCCATAGTTTTATAATGGTTGGAAATACCATTCTCACAAATACAGCATGTGTCACACCAGAGTACCCAGAGCTCTGATTGGCCTACAATGATTTATTACAGACTATAATTCTGTATCCTGGCACTTGCTGGAGCAAGGCTGTGCTTGAGGCCTATACACATACATATTGGAATTAATGAAGCAGCAGCTTATGCAGCTGCAAAAAGCTGGGGGTGCTTAACTTGTTTTTCTCTACAGAATTTTTGGATTTCATTTGTTTCTGGCAGTTATGGAATGCAGTGAAAGGGAAAATGGTGAATGAAGAGAAATGGAGATACGCAAAAGCAGCAAAATCTGGACCTAGGTCAACAAAATATGCTCCTCTCATAATACAGATAAATTTATGTTGATATTTTACGTTGTCTTATTAGTTCTGCTTTCTCCCCAAATGCTGTATTTGATGTCAAGAAGATTAAGGATAACTACAAATATGTCTGCAAAATACACCAAGCAGCATGATACAGACCTTCAAACTCCTGCTGAATCAAGTCTGCCTCAAAACCAGAAAGAAAATAAAAACGGGCTTCTAGCTGTTCCCAATGTGGTCCTATTCTTTCTGGACCTGTGATATTTTTGTATCCAGAGCTCTTAAAAAACTTGGCACTGCACTCTGCTATGAGGATATGACACCTCTGATTTGCACCTCATCTGGAATTACTTTCCTCTTAAACCCACAATTGTACTTAAATTGTACTCAGAACAGAAATTTATTTGTGATAGTTACTGTGTGCAGCTCTACAGCTCCAATGCATTCTTACGGCAACTGATATGTTCTCACTTTTAAAGTTCTTAGCAAAAATTAAAAATTAAAAAGTAATAATGGGACAATTATAATTGTCCCATTATAAAAAGTAATAATGGGACAAACATAAATCAGCGCATCTGAGAACAGATATTAATAGCACTACATCCAGTTGCTGGATGCAAACAGTCCTGAGCTGCTGCTGGGGAGCACTTGTTAGGATCAGAAAGAGGGAGGCAAAGATGGGTGTTTCAGCAGCTGAAGAGAGGTTGAAGGGCAGCTGCAGAAACTGGAACATATGTGATGCTTCATGCAGAGACTGTGGGCTGTGCAGCTGCTTAATTCTCTATGGAATCCCCCTTTTCTCATGAATATTCCTTTATTCACTGCATCTCCTCCAAAGGGGTTGGCAGTGCCACATCACAGGATGCTGTCTAGTACTCTTCAGAGTCTCACTTGCTATAGCTTTTTAAGTCAGCTAGAGCTCTGAAATCATTGCTTATAGCTGGGGCATGTTTTGATTGCTCTCCTGTCTTCCTTAGGCTATTCAAACGAAGGCAGCAGCTGCATTTTGCCATTCACAGTCATTTATGCCTAAAGGCTCATGTTTCCTGTCAGAAGATGGAAACAGTGATTGTATGTGATTTTTGTTCTTTAGTTTAATCTTACATCACCGATATGTTTTCATAGCATTTTCCATCTAGTAATGACTTTATTGATCCATTCTTCAGTCTTTCATCTTTCCATGCATCTAAGCACATTGTAACAAACTTCCACTGATCATTTTGTACCTTGAATTACACATAAGTATATATCATAGAGCTATTCAGTAATCACTCAGTATCAACAGGCTTACTATACAAGGGCCCAAGACAGCCAGACATTCTTAACTGTCACTGCAAATAATCACAGTTAAAAAAGAACAGAACTAAACTGCTACCATCTGCTTGGTCTGTTTCCCATTGCATATTCAAAATGAAAAATAAAAAAAAAAAACAAAAACAAACGATAAGAAAACTAAAAAAGGAAAATAAGCCTATGACGACAAAAGCAAACAATTAAAAAACTTCCTTTCTTTTTTCTTACTAAGAATATTAATTCACGTGCAGTGGCTGTAACATTTAAATTTATTTTTTAAGACATGTATTTTCACAATCAAGAACTTTATGTTCTTACATTCTAGACATCCTCATCAAGATGAACAGTAATATCTAAATATACTTACTTTACTCGATACACTGTCCTTTTTTTTTTTCTCCCATGGTTTTCCAAGGAATCGAACACATTTGTGTTGAAATTAAATCTTCTTTTACCACATCCATGCTTTCAGTGTCTATCACATTCTACTGCTACACCCACAGTGCTGGATTTCTAATATTGCTAATATCACTTCCATAGCAACACACTAAGACATCATAAACTTGGCATTACGGCTTTATTCCTAGATTAGGTCTAAGGAGGAGCTGATTTCAAAAGGCAGCTCTTATTAAAGCATACATATACATGATAATCAAAAGTAATTGCCAGTGGAATACAGATAATGGCCTTCAGAGTTCTGTAAATCAGTTTCACAAAAAAGTTGTCTCTTTTCAAATCTGACCAAGAACAAAGACCTTGTTTTGTTAGTGATATTCAGAATATATTTCCCCAGCCATCCTTAAAGAAAGCACCATATAATCACAGAGATTCAATTACCAAGAAAGATACTATTACTCTTGTTTTTCACTTGCTGGATTCAGTTCATTACTCAGTGGATACAGCACAATGTAAAATGGGGGCTTTTTAGTTGCAAATATTAAGAATGCACAAATGAACACACAGAATGAATAAATGAATGAGAAAGAAGTCAACTTCAAACACTGCCAAAATAATTTTATCAATAAATCTTTTTACTTTTAAGCACAAAATGTAATACGTTAAGTAGAACACATATCATTTGGTCAGCATTCTGGCACATCTTATGATATATAATGACTAAGGACAAATGGGCTCCATTTGTTACTTCCTGGCAGGAGTCTTAAGTAAAATTGTTAAAGGAGGGTAATGCAAAAACCCATATGCAGGTTGTATTGCCACATGCCTTGCAAATGGGTGAATATCTAAGAAATAAAAGATGCTATTTGAGAAGTAACTAAATCTTCATTGGTTTTACTTTGTATATTTTTCATTGGCAATAGTCATGACCATAGAGGAAAATACTTCGACTCCCTTGGTCTCTACACAGGTTTTCTTTGGGGTTCATCAGGAAAAGAGAACATCCAGTCCTCTTGATTATGAAGTAGTATGTGGAAAAGGAAAACCCACTTGTCTATTTCTAAGGCATTCAAGAGGGTTACTCTTACCTAGGTAATATCTCTAGATAATAGGGAAGGTTCTGCAAGGGTGAATTCAAAGTTAAAAAAATCCCCAAACAGTAAAAAAGAATGAGCAGCTTTCAGCAGAGAATACCTAAGGATCTGTTTTCTTTAATATATTCACAGCTTCTCTGAGAAGGTGAAGAAGAAATATCATTGAGAATACAAGAATACAAGGTCATCGAGAATGGTGCATAATTTCAGAGGAAAAACCGGAAAAATTATATCAATATATGCAATTATATCAACAATACACAAGCATATCAATATACACAACAATTATAACAATAAAATGACAGATAAAAACAGGTGTAGAAAGATAGTGTTGCATATGGGGAAAAAATGTGAATTTCACATATAAAACAATGAATGCTATGCTTTCTCAGGAGTGTTTTTTTCGGCTCAAAGCTTTGGAGCAGTGAAAATAAATGAATTGAAGGCAAGAAACAATAAGGAAAGGAAAAAATGGAAAACATTGCCATGCTGTCATTAAAATGCACTGGTGTCTTGAATACCTTATGCAGTTGGATTTCATCTCAATAAATTTATGGAGTAACTGGGAAAAGTCCAGAGAAAAGCAATTGGTATTATTTAAAATGAAAATTCTCCAGTCTGGAAATGAGACAGTTTATAGAAAGACAGATGAACATCTATATATCATTTAAAAAAAAGTGAAGAGAGGCAAGAGGAAAAGAGCAATTAACAGTCTTTTCCAGTACAGAAGATAAAATTAAAGAAGAAAACAGACTGTAGGTGCAGACCTTTGGAAGTAATGACCAGGAGGGAGAAATTAATACCTGGTCAAAGAAACTTTTGCTGTCAGGAAAAAGCTTTAACATTGGAAGGAATTTGTTCTTATGCAGGATGCTGTGTATGTTTTCTTTGTCTGTCTGCTGAGAGGTAACTCCCTTGCTATAAGTAATAAAATTCTCACAAGCATGCTTGGAGGCCCCCACAGGGGGGCCAGGCAGGCCATAAAGCACAGGGGCAGAACACAGCCTGGGGTTTTATTGTGCATGCAAAAGGTGTTGTTATAAAAGCACCAAAATGGGTTTTCCTTTTCACCTTCTCAGCCACCTGTATTCATCATATATATGTGTGTGTGGCAGTGTTCTTGGTTGTTAAAATAAATTTTCTTTAAAACTGTGGTTGATTTTTTTTTGGTTTGTGGTGCTTTATTCTTGGGTTTTGTGTTGTTGTTGTGGGTTTTTGTGTGTGTGTGTGTTTTTTTGTTTGTTTTGTTTTTTGGAGTGTTTTTTTGTTTGGTTGGTTGTTTTTTTTTCAGTTGATTGGTTGGTTTGGGTTTTTTTGTGCCACATGTTCACATGTTTAATTATTCAGCGGAACCTCTTGCTGTAAGATCTTGTGGACACTAAAATCTCACCCAGTGATGTATGGGAAAATATAGTAGATCCCTTTGGAAATGCCAGCCACACTGACACTCACAGTGGTGTGTGTGTTATAAACACAAAGACAACCTCCTCACGTTTACAGACAACATTACATTGAGTGGTACAGTTGAAACCTCTGAAACCTCTGAAGGATGGGATGCCATCTCTCTAGGCTCCTATGAAAATTTTAAATGCTGTTACTTCATATATATCTTGAACATAACTTTTTTTTTTTTTTTTTTTTAATAGCAATATGCCTCTCCACAGTGTTAGAACTACTTATGCCAAGCTCATGTACTCAGGAAGAATAAAGGCCAGTGGCCAGCAGTCTACACTTATTCTTAATGTAGAGTGTCAAGCAAATGCAAAACTAGAGAAATACCACAGTTTGTGCTTCCTGTACTGCAGTGTGGGAGAAAGTATCTTTAGGCACCATGCCACCTGGAAAGTGGATTCTTGCCCACAAAACCAAAATTTTAAGTTCTACCTTACAAAGTGTAACCAAAAGGAATAATTCAGGAGGCAAGACAGAACAAAGTCCCAACTTCGCATTTACTTAGTCTATAATTTGTCCTTCTTCCAACATGCATGAAGGGAACAGACAACTCCTTTCTTCTTTCAGGAAAAAGAAACAGTAATTGTTCACTGTCAGGGACAGCACATTAGTTAACCGTTAATTAAAACAAGTCAAACAAGGTTTTTAACAGCTAGAAACCTTTGTTTTAATATTTGAAGTATATCTGGCAGACTTATAATTTCAAACACACTAAAAGAAAGGATAACATAGAAAATTTCCTGGAAAAGAGAATTTCCACTTATACATGTTAATAACCTTAATTGCTTTGGATTGCAGTTAGTATTTTGTGTGGGGACATGAAAAAAAAGTGTGGGTTTTTTTTTTTCTTTCAATGTTCTTTCAAAATAAATATTGTTGTATGACAAAATGAGAGCATCAATTAATAAGCAGGATAAAAAAATTTATTTTTCCCAGTTTCTTATTTCTGCATCTTTGTGATATTTAGCTTTTTTTTTCTGTGTTTATAATTTAATATCTCTTATAATTTAAACTTGCCTTTATATGCAAATTTTTGAGTAGCATGGTAAAAGCAATTTTTCTTTGCATTTCAGATGCTATATGAGAAAAACCTTACAGTTCACTTCATTACTCTTTTCAAAATGAGATCTTGCAAGATTTTTTTCTATCTGCATGGATTAACTTGTTTCTTCAACTGAAAGTATGGAGGTATTCTGTCTAGATGAATAAAATAACACTTCTGGGGCTGAAATTCATTCTCTCCTGAAACACTATGCCTGGTCTTGGTTGAGTTCCAAGGAAATTCCACTTTTACTTGCATGGGAACCATATCAAGATCTAAACCTGATGTACACTGCGTACACTGATTTACCTAACTGCTCCAGAATCATATCCCTCCAGTTTAAGAACAAGATTATGTGCCTAAATATGACAAAATTCCAGAATTTGATAGAAAATAAATCTGCAAAGACACTCAGCAAGGTGGTGAGCATCCAAAACTAACACTGCTTAAAGACTTGTCACCAGCTACTGTTTCCAACAGGCACATTCCTTGGCATTAGTTCTGCAGAAGCAAAAAAATACCAGTTACGTAACTGTAGTTTTGTGGTTCATTCACCAGAACCACTGTAATGAACTTATAGGAATTTTGAGATAATACTGTGATTGTACTTATGGTGTCTCCTTCATTTACCATGAGCTCAATGCTATTCCAAAATGCATGGGATTTTTCCTTAAAACTAAGCAAAATGGGAGGAAAATCATGCATGTACTTCTACAGTTTTTCTATTTCACACTCAGCACAGCTCTTTTCCTTAAAATGTCAAATACTGGCTCTCGTTTGGCACTACTCTTTCAGTATATTTAGTTTTGTGGACAAGTGTTTTCCTTTTGCAGATAGAGACAGTTTTGCTATGCTACTGAAAGGAGTTTTGAAATATAGGTACATATTTTGCATGGCTGTCATATATGTACTTTCAAATGCTTAAAAATAGGACTCTCTCTCCTGAATTTCACACAAATATATGAGTTGCTGACTTTTTTCCTCCACTAGAAGTAAGCTTCTACAGGACAGTAACAGCCTCAATGCCACACAAATTGCCATTTCAGATTACCATTAAAACAATTGTTTTCTCACCGAGACTTGTTCAAAGCACAGAAAATGCAGAAAATCAGTTACATTTTTTTTGTTGTTGCTATTTCTTAAACTGACCTGTATTCTCAGTGACATTTATGCAGTTAACCATAATTCGTACTTTTCCTTTTTCGTTGGTCTTTAATGGTTATTTGTTGATTCTGTTATACTGAAGTGATTAACGCCTGTTTCCTGCATTACCTTGCATTAGTTTACCTGAAAAGGTCATGACGCTCCTTTGGTTAGCAGTTCGTTGAAAGTCCACTACAATAACTCATTTACTGTGGTATTTGTCACGGATACTGAGACAGTGTTGTAAAAGCTGATGCATTTGAAGCTTTCCTTCTTTTTCCTGAAGAGGTGATTTCCCCCCTCAAATAGCTCAATATCTCTTTCTTCTCAGTAACAAAGTGAATGAGAAGACAGGTGAGTAG